TATGTATGCATGCATGCATATATTCTGATTGATAGGTAGATTTAGGTACAGATATATCAATACCGTGCACACACACACATAAATATGTGTTTATATATATATATATATATGTGTGTGTGTGTGTGTTTGCTGTGCATTTCTTTTTTTTACTACCTAGGAAAGATGTAGAGAGACCCAAGTTTTTGTTTGTTTGTTTGTATTTGTATGGAAAACCTCTGTCGTTCGACCAATTCCACTGAACATCCGCAAATGATATATGTAGCTGTCCAGACTGACAGTCTGGAACCTAGGCCTCCTAGGCCTTGACATGAATATAAACATACATTTATGTGTGTGTGTGTGTACGTACATGTATATATGTGTGTGTGTGTGTACGTACATGTATATATGTGTGTGTGTGTGTACGTACATGTATATATGTGTGTGTGTGCGTGTGTGTGTGTGTACGTACATGTATATATGTGTGTGTGTGTGTGTGTACGTACATGTATATATGTGTGTGTGTGCGTGTGTGTGTGTGTACGTACATGTATATATGTGTGTGTGTGTGTACGTACATGTATATATGTGTGTGTGTGTGTACGTACATGTATATATGTGTGTGTGTGCGTGTGTGTGTGTGTACGTACATGTATATATGTGTGTGTGTGTGTACGTACATGTATATATGTGTGTGTGTGCGTGTGTGTGTGTGTAAACACACGGATATATATATACATATATATATTCTTAGGCAAACACGAATATGCATCTGGAAATAATTACGTCATAGATTCATAGATTTTAATAGGTAGAGCAATCTATGAGGAGGGGAGGGGGGGGTACTGGGAAATGCTGAGGGATAAAAAAGGGGAGATAAGGGCATGGAAAACTATGGGTAGATATTGCTCGCTAAACATATAAAAGTTACGTCGATCTTACAGTGACTTGGAATAATGTCTAAATTTGAAAGCTCATTCCGTTGTTGAAGCCTATTTGGAGTGAAGCTTCCAAGAATTAGGAATTATCAAACAAAAAGAATACCGTATAGAACAGCAGACAGCTTTTAGACTGATAATGAACTTCAAAAGGCATTCGCATCGAGGTTATACACGATCTTCATTAATAATTGAAGTCGAGCATCGGCCTTGGATCCAAAGAGATGAGTAATCGTCTAAACATGGAAGAATAATTTAGTAACACGACTTCTTGAAGGGAGACTCATCCCCAGGTAATGATCTATGCCTGATGCATACACTTAGAAACTAATGTATGTGCATACATACATATGAAGATAAGTATAAAGACACACAGACACACACACACATATGTGTTTTGTGTGTGTGTGTGTGTTTTGTGTGTGTGTGTGTGTGTTTTGTGTGTGTGTGTGTGTTTTGTGTGTGTGTGTGTTTGTGTGTGTATAATATACACATATAAGTTTCATATATATGCACATATATATTCGCCCACTGACATACTTCTACACACACACCGTGTGTGCGTACACATACACAAAAAAAACACGCACACGCACACGCACAGATAACTAGGTACATATGAAAAATTACAGAGAGAGAAAATGTCGCAATCATTTTGTCCAACACTTCTTTATCGTGAAAACGTGATCGAGATATCAGTGCATTGCGAAACCTTAGTAAGAGCCCAGGATTCAGAGTATAAGCAACATGATAACCATGTATATGTTTTTTGTTTTTTTCTCCTTGCCCTTTCCTGTTACTTTGTTGTACGCTTTTTTTTCTCTTTTTTCTTGTCTTCTCTTGTTATCAAACAACAACAAAAAATATATGTTGCACTAACTGCAGAATGGATGCATGCATTTCGCAATTTTCTTGTATCGCGCGCGGGTAATATACAAAGTTATGTCTTATATATAAAGGACGACTTGCTTTCCTCATTCATTCTGCTTCGAACCATGTCAGCGGTAAGTTCTTCAGGCCCTGATGTTTAGGGCGACTTTAAATTGATGCTCTTGACATAAACATTGAATTTGTGTTATGACGTATGTTGAGTAGGCCATGAGAGCGATTTTATATATATTGCGGTTAGATATATTTTTATTATATTTGCCTTTGTTGTATTTTTATACTGATAAGTACTGATTCTGTTTCCAGAAAATGATCAAAGCCTTGGCCTTGTTGGCTGCAGTGGCCACGGCTTCTGCCCTTTCTTCTTACTATTTAAGAAGTAAATATTTTAAAAGAAACGTTAATCTTATACTCAAATACATTTCTAAATCCATATGATTTACATAACCAGAGGAATTTTAATTGAAGACATACATGCTCAGACACGAAATCCTTCATTTTGGGGTAAAATAATATTATCTTTCCCTCAGCCACCTCATGTCAGAGAGCTGAGGATGTGGCTTTATGTGAGGCTGATGTGAGTACTGCTTCAAGTCGTTTTCCATGCTGATACTTCATTATGGTACCATGAAACAGATCAAGACAATATATCTTTATTTTAGCCATAACACTGAATTCTTGGCGCCTTTCCAAAG